GTGGGAAAGACTTTAAAACAAAACTTACAACAGTTACTTTTCTCAACAACTGAAATTTAGAATAGTGTGATTAAGAAAAATATGTGAACTGTTTGCAATTTCAAATTAATATTGAAATGTACAGGTTTAGAATTTTCTACAGTGAAAAGTTTTCGGAACTTCAGTATTCAAAAAAGTATACAAAAACTAGACGTTAAGAACGTATCCAATGAGCGAGCATTGGATTGCGAAGCAATCCGAAATGAACTGCGAAAGCAGTTCCGGGGGTTGGGGAGCTCCAGCGAGCAGGGGGCGAAGCCTCCTAGTATATATATATAAGCTTAAAAAAACTTGATTTTTTTAAACTTGCAGTGAGAATGACTCTTCAGATCACAACTATGATTGCACAAAGACACTTTTGGTACCCATTTCAATTTTTTGAATGGCAACATGCTCCACACAACACTGCTGGATTATATAATACCCCTCTATTATATAATATGCATTATACCCCTCTATTAGTCCCTGATACAAGGAAAGCAATGAAGTCACAAATATTCAGAGACTGGAGTGGCCACCAGCGCCTGTTATATCAGTTTCAACCTGTGATGCCCATTCATTCATGAACATGAGTGATAAATTCGTCCATCATTATTTTCTTGTGTTTAACATGATTTGTACACTTTTTGAGGGGAAAGAAAACAATAGGACACATTTCTAGCATTATCGCTTTCTTAGAGATCAGCTTTATTCCGGACTTCCAAATTTTAAATGTAATAAGTAAATGATAGAAAAAATGAAAATTCCCTAAATTTTAAGTCAATTTTTTTAGTTTTCTCAGTTTTACAGTTTCTTCTTAAGGTAGCGTAGCAATCCCGAACTTAACATAATTTTTTTTTATTAAATCTAATAATTGATTAAGTATTTTAAACAATATGCTGTAATTTCAAGTGAAGATAAATCTAATCATAAAACCACATTAAATAAAAGTGAAATTTTCCTAGTTAAATAAGTTTGTGTTATGTGATACCGTTCCCAACGCCGAAATTTTTAAAAACTGGAAAATACAGTTTGTATTCCGAACTTAATATGCTGAAGGATAGGTTCATTAGAAAGAGTTGTACCCCCATTTTAAATTATTTACATAATTACAAAATTTTATAATTTACTTCATAGTAAAATAAATATAATTATTATAATATTATAAATATTAAAAAAAATCAGAAGTGGAAAACAAAACAGCAAAAGTAAGATGCAGTACGATTCGANGGGGGCCCCAAAATCCTATTATGCTTCCCCTATTTTCAGAGGTTAATCGGGCCCTGCCAACAGTTAATAAAATTTCATAACAGAATCTAAACTTACCGGTTGATTTATCTGCAGCTATCGTCAATTTATCTCCGATGGAAAAGTTAGCTTTTTCATCACATAGTTTTATTGAATTAGAGCGAGTTTTCAGTTCTTGCAGCGTAAATGATTTTTGTAATAATTTTAACTGGGTGGCATTAAGGTCATCGTATTGACTGAGACAAGATTTAACTGCTTCAAAGGTCTTATTTTGTAGTAGATTCAAATAATATTGAGTGTGACAAATATGGCGATTAGATTTGGCATGAATTTTAAACCCATGCAAAGACGTTGACACAAATCCGCATGGGTTACACTGGACCCAATAAAAATGTTTAGTGCGAGCATTTTCAATGTGTCCTCCGTTTTGAATATCCCCTTCTTTAAAGTGATTATAATGACTAAGTAACTGTAAATGCATCTTTCCGTTCAAGTGGATGTTAAAACGGCGAATTCCACCTGTCTTATAAAGACATAAAGAACAGAGCATAGAGTTATCATCTACAATCATCCATTCTTTATCACTTTCAGAGGTTCGATTCTTTGTAATATGTGACAGCATTTCTTCCACAGAATAGGACGTAAATGATGAACAGATCAAACATTCGTAAACTTCTGCGTTTCTGCTATAAAGTACTAAAAAACGAGATAGCATTTTGTTCGAAATGCAAATATTATTAGCAGTTGAGGCATCTTGTAATCCTTTAGAATTAGGCTTAGCAGGTCGATCAATTGTTTTATCACTGTATGATGTCGCTGTATTAAGTTTATTGTAAATTGAACCACATACTTTCTCTACTAGTTGATACTGCTCCCAGTTTTCTACCATTTTCTCTTTAGGAAACATGAAAAGAGGATGGATTCTAACTTTTTTGAAGGCTAAAAATTCAAGAAATTGCATTCTATTTAAGTTTTCTGAAACATTTTGATTATATTTATTGCATTCTTGAGATGTATATAATGAATTAGGTTCACTATCTTTTATGCGACGATTCTGTTCCACATTAGAGTTTTTGGCACATGTTTTAGCTTCGCTTCTAGTTGAATAATATGAAACCGAAAATGGATGTTCTCTATTTATATATTCTGCTCTAAGAATATTCTTGGACAAAGGTGTCTCAGAAATTCTAAAACTACACATATTTTCTGTAGATGCATCTTTACTGAAATAGTTCATTGTTGATTCAGTATTTTCTGGTAAATTTACAAATGCTGATTTCAAAAGGTAAGAATTAGGGGAATTTTTAATGTTTTCAGAATCAAAAGAATAAACAGATAAATCTGAAGGCTGTTCTTCTGGGCACTGCATTGTGTTCTATTCTTTATAATATCAGACAAATTTTTTTTTTCGAATTGTGAAATATATGTTGAAGATTCGATGTTTTTGCTTGGATAACTTTTTGCTTATTTTTTCTTGGATTTTGTCATTCTCTCGCCAATATAGAAATTCGAATTGCAGAATATGAATTCTAGGATGCACTAAAGTGAAATGAAGCTTTTCCGTATTGAATCCTGTGAAAGAAAAATAAGTTTTAGAAGTTATTTGGTACATCAATACACGAAAGTAGTAAATTATCTTAGAATGGCATCATATATATCGGGTTAGGGATTAAATTTTTTTTTTTTTTGTCATTTAGCCTATCATAAAAATGTTTTTGGCATGATCTCAAAGAAGCACCATGTTCTGGTCATCCAGATGAGATTGATAAGCCCGACCTTTGAGCAAAATCTCGCAGAAGGGCTTCAGCATGTTGGCAAAGCTGTGCGTTCCCATCCCCAGATGAAGGGTTGTTTTTGCTAACATGAGTTTCTTTAGATTTCATTTTGCTTGTATTTTAATTCTCACATTTGTATTTATATTGTTTTATAGATAGGTAATATAATATAATTCAGCAATGGTTTTTAAATCATGTACCTTATTTTTTCATGCAAAAATCTGATTACTGACATATGTTTTACTTCATATAATTTTGTATAAAAAATTACCAAGATAAACTTATAAAACAATAAGTTTATAATTTCAAAAAAGAATTTAGTTTTACAATTGCAAAGAAAATTGATTGGAAATAATAGAATGTGAAGAAAAAAAAACCACTTGGTAGATATAAAGATGTTTTTTTCTCTTTTTCCAACCTTTGCCCACCTTATATCAACCTTTGCGAATCCTGATTATAATGTCCTCCAATTCATGATAATAAAAGCGATACAAATTTCACAATTTTCTCATTTGGTGACTTCGAATCACAGGAAATAGCACCGGAAAAATGCCTGGAAAGAATCACAGGATAAATATCGGATGAAAAAATAATCGGATATGTGCGGAAAAAAGCACATTTCATTAACTATTTTATAAAATATACGCAACGTCCGATTCAATTCGGGTCGTAGAACCCAAATTATGTGTCATTAAAAAGCCTAATTGCATGCTTATGGAGTCTTCCAAATTTGTTTGTTTTGTTGAAAGTTTGATTGAAAAAACGTGTTATATTGAAAACACAACAAGTATAATAATATTGGACGGTGCGTTTTTACAAGCTTATACTAAAACTATTGCTTTAGACAACCTAACAAATTGAATAACTATACTGTTGCCAATAGATAGAGAAATACCCGAGTTTATGGTGCCACATGAGAGAAATATACAAATAGATTATCTACTACTCCTTTGTTAAAACAATGTATTCTTAGTGCTTTAAATTCAAAAGGGAAAATAAAATTTTGAAAAATATTAAATTATCCAAAATTCAAATGAACAAAAATATACAGCGGTTAATAAATATTATAACACTGAATAGCATATAATTCTAAGATATTTGATGAAATATAAACTTGCTTTAAAATTAATTTATATTAAAAATAGTCCACAAGTTGTATAATATTAAAATAAATCTGAAATTCATAAAAATATTGGGTATATATGAAAGGTTTGGGGCGCAATATAATGATAAACTATATTTTCAAACAGTGAGAGCATTATTGGTTGAAAGCACCGTTGTCATGACGGCCATAAGAGGTGCTGCCTTCTTATGGAAACTAAAAGAACATAAAATATCTGTAAACAATAATAAGGAACAGTTTTATGTAAAACTTTTCCATTCGAAAAACGTGCGGTTTTTTTGCTACATTGCCCATAACTCTTCATATATAACATTTCTATTTGGAAATGCGTGAAAAATTCTAAGTTAACCATTTGCTTAAATGAGCTTACTCTCATACACGCTACTTATAAAATGTTCGATTTTAAATTTAATAGTTTGCAGAATGAAGAAAATTTTAATAAGTTTAGAAAGTAATAAATTTTTTTGATTTCTATTTAAACAGATCTCGAACTAAATAAAATTGTGGACAACATTTTAGAAAAGAACAAATTTGAACACCGGTAGGAACTTTTAGAAGAATTAACATTGACGTTCGAATTAAAGAGAGTTCACTGCAGATGAACTTAATGTCTCGTCTCCCTTCTATGGATGGTTGACTGAATGTAAACTATAACAAGCTTCCTGAAACCGAAAGAAATTTAGAAAACTTCCGGTGTATCACTCCGCTTATGTTATGCTTACGAGGTGAACAGGCTTAATATTGTAGGAAGTTCGATTACTGTGCTTAAATTTACTTTTTCATTTAACCATTCATAATTTATAAATTATAACTGCTTGTGAGCCTAAAACAAATTTAAGAAAAATAATATCGCAACATAAATAAAGTTCGCCCATGTTTTGATCCCTTACTTGGCTATATTACTGTAAAATATCGCCGTTTGATATTTTTGTAAATAATTATTCAAGCGTAATCACATAAAAAATAATTAATATATAATGATTAATTCAAAGTTCACTAAAAAGAAGCTTTCACACTTCATTCTATTTAATAAGAACTCTTCATCAGTTCTAAATTTCAAATCAATCATTACACTTATTATTGTGATATCATAAAATACAAATGATACTTTTTCAACTAGTTATTTTTGTAAAAATTGTATTACATGTTTCATCAGTTTTGTTAATATATTTAATTCATCAAAAGATTTATCCCTGTGAGATTACTACTAATTAATAAATTATTTCTGAATACTATTGTTCAAGGAGATTTGCTGACGCGCCTGCATTTGGAATTGTATTACTACTACATTTCATTTCCTGTCCTCTCACTAACTTCTTTTTGGACATGTGATTGTTTCTCATATTTTCTATAAAACTATACTTGTTAAGCTGTTTTTCAGTGATTTCTTTAATTCGCATGCATTCTGTACATTTTTTTCATTAACTAGGATACGCAGACAAGACCTCACTTTTCTAAAGTTAGCTTTTTTGTTGACTAAGCTTTAAATTTAAATTGAATTTTTGACTTTACGACCATCAATGCTCAACTCTGTAGGTTTTAATAACAGTCGTTCAACAGCCGACCCAATTTTTTACGTTTACGTCTACTAATATTCAACTCCGTAGCCTTGTCATTTTGAACCCAATCCAGAAGACAAGGGAACTTGTGGATCAAGTATTGGAAGAAATTTGCCTTCTTGCAGGACCTTTTGATGGAACTAACCCGCATTTGCGTTATAGGGAGAGGAAAACCTCCCACGGTTAGCCTGACGGCAAAAGGACTCTAACCCATGATCCGTCTACCACTGAGGATATTTTTAGTCAGCACTGTGGTCGGCGCAAGCTGGATGTGGAATTCCTATCAACGAATACGAACCCGGGTCCGAGTGGATTCGAACCCGGTTTACCTCGCGAATGCTCTATTCCCTGAGCCATCACTGATTAAAAACTCTGTAGGTTTGACATCTTAAACTTAATACCGAAAACAAGGAAACTCCTGTATTAGGGAAAACTTGCCTTCGTGCAGGACTTTTTTAAGGGAATTAACCCGCATTTGCGTTGACACCAAAACATCCCAAGGCTAACGCGAAAACAAGCGTATTCTAAGATTTTCTCTCTAGCATCCCATCAGGAATAAAGGTTCAAATTTGAGACTTCTATCTTAAAACGTGCTATTCAGCTTAACTGTTAATTAATAGGTTATAATTATCCCTAATCACCATATTTTCAAAATATTGAAACAAAACTTTTCTAATTTTTCTATTTCGTAAAGGACACAGGGTCCTAATCTGACATGGTAAAAACGTTAGGCTATTTACAACCAATTACTTCACTCATTATGAAATATATTAATAATTACAAAATAATTTTGTTTTTCTATGAATTTAGTAAAGAACGTGATTCGAATTTGATATTTCTATCTTGACAAAAACATTAATTTAGTATTGCTGTTAATTAGGCTAATTACCCCTAATTACCATGATAATTGCAAGATATTGAAATGAATCTTTTTTTTGTTTTTTGTTTCTCTATTTATCATATAGAAAAACATAATGATCCTAATTTCAGACTTCAATTTTGATAAAAACATGTTATTGATTATAAACTTCATTCACTTCAAATATATACAAATAGGAAATAACAATGACATGTTTCAAGCACTTCAAAAATAGTCTCCCATTTTCAATGCTTGTAAGAAGCGAAATAAGCAAAAGTGATTTGAAATAAAAAATCGTAAAGTTGCCAACGAAAAATGGAAAAATAAAGGTGAGAAACAGAGCTAGAAAAACAACAGTAGCCGAGAGAGAAAAAAGAAGTAAAACAGAACAAGAAAAATCAGTAATCGAGGGGGGCAAATCATGGTAAAATGCATTACCACATAAAGAGGTGGAGAGTAACTCATGTCGTTATGAAAGGAATTCATTTAAAAAAACATGTTCATTAGCATAAATGTGCATTAGGCTAACTACCCCTTAATTAAACCATTCATTTCAAAATATCGAATTGAAATTTATTTAGTTTTTTAGTTAATCATATTTTAAACGTATAATGCAAATTTCAGACTTCTATCTTACTAAAACGTGGAATTCATAATTACTGTCATTAAGATAATTACTGTCTAATTACTCAAATAGTTACACAGAAATGAAATAAATCTTTTTTAGTATTTATATTTATCACATAAAAAGCATATGGTCCAACATTGACCCTTTTCTTATGGGGAAAAAACGAGTTATTTAGCACTAATGCCAATTATCCCGATCATTACAATACATCGAAATGTAACTTTTTTATTTTTTCTATTTATTGCATAAAGAATACATGTTCAAAATTTTAGACTTTTATTTTAATACAAATGGCAAATATAGATGAGTGAGTGAGGCACCGATGATAATACCTTTTTTTTCCTTCCTTTTTTAATAATTTCGAAATTAAATTTTTCTTCTTAAATGTTTGTTTCACTATTGATAATTCTAAAGGAGCGTTTTTTTTTCCTTTCTTTCTTTTTTTTCCTTCTTATTTATCGTATGTAGATGAAATTGAAAAATATCAATGCGACCCGAACAGGTGTGTGGAATATTGAGGAATTATATATTTCTTAGATGGGTTCCAAAAGAAGTTACAAATCTATTTAACCGTTAGTGGTCATCTAATTATGAAGAAAAGGATCAGTAAGCACCTATTTTCTTTTTTAAATTCAAGAAAATTATATAAAACTAAGTGTTAGTACAATTCGAAAAAACAGAAAAAAGAAAAAAAAAGAAACATACTACTTTGAATAACACTCTACTAACTCATGTCTTAGGCAGAACATAAAGTTGAGTCCCAGAACGTAAAGTTTTAGGATTTAATTTTAATGGTTGGAGGGACGGATGATATTTTAAGTTGCGG